AAATTGAAAGCTTATCTTTGGCCGAGGGGTGGCCATCATCAGGGTGTGATTGTTTGACTTCAGAGGGGAATAATACCCGACAATCAGCTGAGTGGTCACGGAGGTAGTCGACGACCTTCTGGGTACGGAACAGCGCAGATAACCATTGTATCTGAAACTTGGGCTGATCTGAGCTGGCAGTACTTCGTGAACCTTGAGACTTGCCACCCCTTCCACGGGTAACAGGCCCTGGCATTTGGTCCATGGAGGTTCTGTCTCTTCGAGAGGGCGTCTGCAGCGCTTTGAGTCGTGCAGAATGACAAGGAGGTCGTGGTCAAGTGGCAGGCATAACTTTCGAAGTCCGCTATGATGCCAAGTGTGCCGCATATCCAAGTGGCTGTTCTTGCAGTCCTTACCCAAGTTTCAGTCGAACTCTAACCGAGAGTTAGTGAGCTTTAGCGACGTTTTAATTTCTACTCTGAGTCCCACTATTAATGGTACTCAAAGTAAGATTCAGAATTCTCGCTAAGCTCAGTAAAGCTCGGTAAGAAGCTCACCAAACTCGGGGCTTGCCACGCACCTGACATGCGGCAGACTTCGGCACCCTAGCGGACTTCGAAAGTTATGCCTGTCGTTCGACCACCACCTCGATGTCGCTCTGCGCGACTGAAAGCTTTACAGACACCCTTTCCAAGGGGCAAAAACGCCATGGATCCAACACAGGGGCCGGTCACTCGCGGGAGGGGTAGCAAGAGTAGAGGCACACAGCATCCTGCTGTGGGAGGAGGGTCAGATCACCCCAAATTCCAGATACAGTGGCTATCTGCACCTTTCCGCACCCAGAAAGTCATCGACCACCTCTGTGACCACCCAGCTGACTGCCAGATCCTATTTTCCTCTGATGCAAAATGACTGCAGAATGATAGTGACCGTCCCTCGGGCAAAGATAAACTTTCAGTCTGCGCTGTTATCGCGAAGTATGTGTTCAAGAATGATGCTGACTATGTGAAGCATTATGCGGACGAGCCTGACAAATTTCGAGACTCAATGAATAGTCACATCAACGGGTACGTTGTTCTGACTCTCTTCCTCAAAGTGTACTAATATTCGTTTCACAGACTCAGAAGAAAGTATCACGAGTCCTCTGACAAGTTACACTCAACCGGCGCTGGTATCATGCCAGAGGATGAAGCGCAGAATTTGCACGGTGCGTTTTTAAAAAAAATTACATCTATCATAGCCTGACTGATTAAATTCACAGCGCAAATTTTGAAGGAATTCCCCTGGTATGATGAACTCATCGACATCATGGGGGGGAATCCAGCAATATCCCTCAAGACAGTCTCGTCACACCCGGGAGTAGACCACGCAGCAAAATATTTCTCCATCTCACGTACCGCCAGCAGCTCGTATTCCAACAGTCTGGGCTCTGGGAGCGCTCAGTTTAGCGCCCAGCCTTTCTCTCCTCAGCTTCCTCCCGCTGGCGCTCAGCCATACTCTCCTCAGCTTCCCCCCTCAGCTTCTCAGCCTTACCCACCCTCTTACCCTCAACCTTACCCGCCCTCTGACCCTCAACCTTACCTGCCCTCTGACCCTCAACCTTACCTGCCCTCTGACCCTCAACCTTACCTGCCCTCGGGCGCTCAACCTTATCCGCCCTCTAACCCTCAACCTTGCCCACCCTCGGGCGCTCAACCTTATGCACCCTCGGGCGCTCAGCATTACCTGCCCTTGGGCGCTCAGCCCCACAGCAGTCAATATGTGTTTGGCCATGCCCCTCATAGCCAGTACCCACATCACCACCAGTCTGGCGCGCCCCCCGCACGCTCTCGCAACGACCCCAACTCACTTCTCGATGACAATGACGATGACATGCCAAATTATTTCAGTCCTCTCAATCACAACGACGACATGGATTTTTCATTCGAAGATCTACCAAAGCCAACTCCCCCCCCGCGAACGTGATTACCGCGACGACCCTCACGCTATTATTCTCGACAGTCCGCCGAGGTCTGCACACACTGCATCCAAACGTCCGGCTCCTCCGTCGTCCCCTTTGCCCCCCATTACCCCTCCGCCTCAATCTCAACGATCTGAATTCATGCTGCCGTGCACATCGCAGACGTCTCACCAGGACAGTCGTGCATCCTTCGGGATGTCCGATCCACAACAGCGCCCTAGCACGGGGTCGGTCAAAGTGTCCTCTCGCCGCTCTTCAGGCTCTTCGCACTCGAAGCCTGCATTGGTGTCATCAGCACCTGCATCAATGTCAATGATGTCACCAGCCAATTCCACGTCAGCATCCGCAGGAAAAACGAGGCAGGGGAAGAAGCAGCGGTCTGACCTTCAGAGTCAGGTTGACGCACTCTCTGACGAGATCAAGAGTGCGCAGTCGGACCATGTCACTTGGGATGAACTCAAGAACGAGCGGTACATGGCCAAGTACAACTTCGTGTGCCAAGTCAATGAACACAAATTCCTCAAAGCCGAACAGGCAGATACTTTCGCCGAAGCTGCCACTGCGCATCAACGTGCCCTGGAGGCCAAGGAGTCCAAGATTTGTCTTGAGAAGCAGAGATGAAGATGCATGCGGCATTAGCACAAGCGCATGCGGAGGAGGCGGCAACCATGCGCCTCAAGATTGAGTTTGCACGTCTTTCTGGGTCTGGGTCTCAGGCTTGAGTGTGATGCTTGCAATATCTCTTTTGTTCTTGTTTTATGCTCGTTTTCACGCTACTGTCTATGTCACGCATATGTAACTCATACTCTGTTGTGGTACTTTACTATACAATGATGTCCTGGTGTTCTTGCAAACTATTGTTAGTCTTCTCTGCGTACTGCTTTGGTGTGAGGACTGTCAAATAAAAGATCCTTCAATCTCTCACGATGTGCATGACCTGGAGTCCCCTCATACAACCTATCACCTACTTGCCCATCCCCATCAGGTCCTTCATTTGCTGGGTGAATGTAGTTATTGTCCTCCTGACAGGACCATGCCACTGAGCCAGTTGTTTCTGTAAGAGCTTGATTTTCTTCAAATCGGATAATCATGTTGTGAAGTATGAGGCAACAGTGGATCCAGTGGACAGCTGCCTGCAAGTCATCTGCCGAATTGATATTCTGTCGGAGATCTCGAAGGGATTGAAACTGCCCTTTCAATGCAGCAAATGCATGTTCAACGTGAACACGGACCTAAATAACTTGTAAAATTTCAAATAATCAGGAAAAAAATAGTACAAACTTTGGAAAGATAATAATTGAATGTCCTCTGATTTGCTGTCAGACAACCACCACGGGGCTTCTTGAAAGGGGGAATACACCAGGTGCTCAATGGATAAGCACTGTCTGCCCAAACCCAGTGATCAGCTGGCAGAAGTGTGTTGTGCTCTTGATAGATACAAGTTGATCTAAACGCATATGCATCATGGACACTTCCAGGGTGACCGAGAGAATAATTGACTATAAGAAGATTGTGGGGCATAATGACTGCCTTGAATTTATTTTAATTTATAATGGTAGAAAAATAAATAAAAAGCAAACTTACCTGACAGCCAAGGGAATATTTTGATTTCCTGTCATAAAAAGCCTCGTGGTAAAAACCCGGTGTGGCATACAAATCAACCATTGTCCCATCAACAGCTAGGACACCATTCTGCCACTCAGGGCAAGTGGTAGCCTTTGCACTATACCTCCGAGCACGGTTAAAATCCTCCAAACTATGGGGAGGGAAGCCCATGAACGCATCGTGCTGGTCAAGTAGGGCGACCATGACACGATTAGTGCAGTTAACAATGGAGCCAACACTGACCCCTGCCCACTGAGACACCTCCAGTAGGGAGATGGAGTTACCGTAGTGGCCAGCACAGTTAAGAAAGATTGCGAGTTGAATTGCAACAGGAAGCTGGGAGTTGTTCGAGTTGTTGTGAAAAATACGATGGCCAGAGATTAAATCAAGAATATTGTCGAAAATGTCTGGGTCGACCCGTAATTTGTGACGAAATAAGAGAGGGCGATGTTTCCTAAAATGAACTAGAAGGTGGAGTTGTGGGGCTCGTGGGAGAGGTTCATCAGGCCTGTGGAGTACGTGAGCCTTCAAAACTTCGTCCCGGAGAGTTGCAATGGAATCTTGCAGGCGATTATAGTGGGCGAGAGTATGATCATCATCATCCGATGAGATGTCCCCATCAGAAAAATCAGATAAGCCTGAGAAGGCTGGAGAAAGAGGCGAAGAGGGAGAAAGCATAATATCCATGAAAATATCAAGATCCGAGTTATGAGTAAGGTCCAACTGAGAGTCGAGGCTCAAGATAGAGTCCGTAGAGTTGTCATCTTCCATAACGTGCTGGTATCTTGCCCTGGCTACCACAAGGGCAGCCTGGTCAATATCATTCAGCATCTGTTGACGTTTGGATTGATGAGGCATGATGGGAATCAACGGAATCAACACCCCTATTGAGTTGGTATATGTGACGCAGCTTATAGCGGAGTTTGAAATTTCGGAAAGTTCCAATGTTTGATCTTGTGCTGCACAAGTTGCTACCCCCACACCCACCTGACCAGCAGCATCTCAACTTTGCCCAGCATTTCTCTCACCTCTCTGGAAGTCGCGCCCCACCCACATCCACCATCCACATATTGCAGTAACATATCTCCGTATTATACGAGTGGATGGACGTGCATAATATCCCGTATGATACGGGCCAGCGGACCATGGGCCGAGGGTAGATATATCCTCGACTGTGATGGATGGGCCGGGAGTGTTATTATTCCCGATGGAGACGGGTGGGCCCAGGTGGGGAATATGTAAAGTAGATGGGTGGGCCGATGGACATGAATTTTCAATAGACGGATCGGCCGAGGTAGTTGGATATTATGTAGATGGGTGTACCAAGGTAGATATGTATCAAATAGCCAGGTATATCAAGGGTGCTTGTTATCACATAGACAGGTGGGCCCAGATATATATCATATTAGACGGGTGGGCCGAGGGAGTGGTAAAAGATGTATTATATACAGGTGGGCCGACGGGAGACATATATTGCATAGATGGGTAGGCCGACGTGGGGGTATATAAGATAGACGGGTGGGCCCAGGAGAATGATAATTGTAGACATGATGGAGCTCAGCTAGTTGTATATCATCCAAATCAAAGGAGGTGATTATTCAAAGTCATCTAATGATGTGGTATGGCACGGAGCTTTGCAAAGGGGTGAAGTGGAAACTCGAGCGAAGTGTACCGAGTTCCGAGACCCGGGTCTCGACAAACGAATATGTGATGTCCAGCACACTTCCGATCATCTGGTATCTCATTGAGCAATGGATGATAATAGATCTTTGAAAGCCAACATCATCCAAGCCTACCAAATGCCAAATGCCAAGTTCCGACCACCGAAAATTGAGTGAAGTGTACCAATATCTGAGCCCCAACTATCGAATCCCGAAAATCGACCATCGAGTCCCGACTATCGAGTCCCGACTACCGAGTCATGAAACCCGATGCCTGACCATTGAATCCCGACAATCGAGTATCGAGTCCCGACCAACGAGTCCCGTATATCGAGTCCCGACCATCGAGACCCGAGACCCGACGCCCGAGACCCGAGACCCGAGATTCGAGACAAGTTCCAACTATGGTGTCCCGGGTATCAAAATTGAGTGAAGTGTACCGAGATCCGAGGCCCGGGTCTCGACAAACGAGTATCTGACATCCAACAGACTTCCAATCATGTGGTATTTCATTGAGCAATAGATGATAAGAGAAATAGATCTTTGAAAGCTCAGATCATCCAAGGCTCCCTTATCTGATCCTCTCAATCTCCACCCCCTTTAACACCAAAGTGCGGACATTCAGGATTCAGCTTCTGATCTCACAAGATCAATTCAATCATGGATGTTTCTTCCACTTCCGATGATGAAATAACCCTCTTGCGCACTTGGGCCCTGACTGTCACTCATGTGGCATGTGATTATACGGAACAAAAATTCAATGCAGAGAAGACAGGAGGAGACCCAGTTATACCTTCTCCAAACCTAGACACTGATCTGGTGATGGCTTGTGATCAATTGGTTGATCGGCTCATAAAGGCATATAAAAATCCCAGTGAGTCTTCCTGCAGATTCGGAAAATTCGTTTTATCAGTCAAATTGCTTCATCACAGTTCAGATGCCAATTGATATTGCAAGATATAGCAAATTGATCTCCCCAAAGGACATGGGGCGTAATGAAGAGAGAGAGGAAAAGTTGCTTGAGAGGTGTCCTCCTGGCCATGAGGGCACAAAGTTGATCGACATACCCGCGACAATTCTTGATGCATCTGGTGCCATCATCGCATGGTACCTCCCAGATGCCTTGACCGATGCCACCCAGGTGTGTTATATATATTGTGACTGGATGGATATTGAACATCAAATGGTACGTACAGAATGAAATTTGGGCGGCCTCGGATTTGCTAGCTCCCATGCTCGAACAAAGCATAAAGCTCGATGGGATTTGGCGGACTAATCAACAGTGGTTCACACCAAGCTCGGAAAATGATGTCCTAACTCCCGGATGCGTTAATTTATCTCCGGCATGGTTTCAGCAGGGGCACGAGGTAGGATCTGATGAGATGGCGATCTCGGTAGTTAAACTCACCAATCCCATAGAATCAGTCCGATCCGGAGGTATCTGCATCATTGAAGGGACCATCCTCCGAGAACATCCTCAAAGCCATTGCGAGGCCAGCAGCCATTGCCACAGCGGCACTCAGGGTGATGCATCCTGAGCAGTACTGGGCAGGGTTGCAAGCCTTTGGAGCCTCGGAGAAAAGGCACGAAGCAAGGAACTGCCGAAGATGTCAGAGACTCTCCAGTACTGGGCAACTGGTGTTTAACAGCCTCACCGTCATATGCAATCGGGAAACCCCGAATCATCGAGACCCCTCATCGATTTCTGAATGCTTCGATATTCTCACTAGTGTGGGGAATTATTCTAATGCTTGGATGAGTATGCCAAGCCTGCAGCTGGAGTTAAGGTACGATCCGGGGTGCATGATTGCATTTTCGGGAAGGATTGTCAGACACGCGGTCTATGCAGTGGAAGGGGATCGGATTGCCTGGGCATGGTATATGAGGGATGCTGTTCATGTTTATGCTGGGATTCCGTCGTGTGGATGGGCAAGGTTGGATTGGAAAAGTAGAAAGGTAGTACCCGTGTTAGTACCCACCTTCAAATAATGATACTAGATGTCAGGCCATCCATACTCAACATTCGGGTTTCAGGTCTTGATAGTCGGGACTCGATATTCGAGTATATTCCATAGTGATATTGTACACATTTCACGCTACTGCACGGTTTCGGTACACGACTACTTATATCGGACTCGATTCGAACCGATACCGAGTGGGTTTCGGGTTTCGGTACACGGTACCCGGTACTTGATAGTCGGGACTCGATATTCGATTTCACCGACTACCGAGTACCGGGTTTCGGGTTTCGGTACACGGTACCCGGTACTGATAGTCGGGACTCTATATTCGATTTCACCGACTACCGAGTACCGGGTTTCAGGGTTCGGTACACGGTACCCGGTACTCGGTGATTCAAGAAAACAACTCCCAAAATTGATGAGTGTCATGTTTTGAGTTTTGTTTCGATTTGTTTTGAGTGTCGAATCTCGGGCTTCGGGCTTCGTGTTTCGGGTCTCGATAATAGGGACTCGATACTCGATGGTCGGCACTCACATCTCGGGCTTCGGGAGTCGATTGTCGGGACTCGGGTTTCAAGACTCGGTAGTTGGGACTCGATAGTGCGGATTCGGGTTTCAAGACTCGGTACCCGGTACTCGGGTTTTGGTACTCAGTGATTCAAGAAAGTGTCGTGGTGTTTGGAGTTTTGATTTGTTTCGTGTCGAATCTCGGGCTTCGGGCTGCTTGGGTTTTGGGTCTCGATATTGGGGACTCGATACTCGATGGTCGGCACTCAAATCTCGGGCTTCAGGGAGTCGATTGTCAGGACTCGGGTTTCAAGACTCGATTGTCGGGACTCGATGGTTGGGACTCGATGGTTGGGACTCGATAGTCGGGCTGTGGGACTCGATTGTCAGGACTCGGTGGGGACTCAAAACTCGCAACTCATAGCAATGTTCGAGTTTCAAGTCTCGTCTCGAATCTTGGGCTTCGGGACTGGATATCCGGGACTCTATGTTTGGGACTCAATATTTGGGACTCAAGATATCTGGATCTCGATACTCGATATTTGGTATGCAGGACTCAGCATATAGCAATAGGTCAGATATTCGAAAGTCAGTATGTAATTTTCAGTACTTATTTCATCATGTACAGAATTTAGACTTCAACATTCTGAACTGAAGGACTAGAACTACTCTGGTCCCCTTGGGTTCAATTTGGTTAGGATGGCGGTGTACATCTGAATCTCTGCCATCTTTTCACGGATGCCAGCTTGTTGATCCTCAATCACTGTCAGGAGGCGTTCCCTCATCCACCTCAGTGCCTTCAGCGTTGCAAGCGAGCTTTCATCCACCTGCTCGGGAACAACAAGACGTTCGTCCTCAACGCCAGACTAGAAAGGATTAGTCATCACTCAAGGAAATTCTGTAAAAGTCTTACTAGCCAATGCTGGTAGTGACAGACACAATTAGCGAATACCTGATCCCATGGCCATAATTCGTTCGGGATGGCAGTTGATCCGGTCCACCATGGAGTACCATAGGTGGATACAATGCGGGAGGGATCCCCCAGATCTGCAACGTCTTGAAACTGGCATAGGTGGGATGAAAAGATGTGGTCCGGAACCATGTTCCAGGTGAGCTCGGGAATCAACTGAAGAATATGAGCAACCGGGCTCGGAACAACCGAAATGATGTTCCTTGCAGCTGAGTACTGCAGGATGGGAGTCACAAAAGTCTGTTGGAAATGTCAGCATTGACCACCACAGTCATCAGCCTCTTACAGCTATCTCCCATTGCAGCCCGGCTTTAAAGTGCGTGATCCGAGTAGCAGATGGCTCCTGGGTGTGGGCAGCCTCCATCTGATATTGAGAGATGGACGCTCGGATGCGAGATGCAGCCATTGACATTGTAGCTGCAATATCTGCCTGAGTGAGTGTGAGGGGTCGGAACCCATTGCCGGAAGTCTGAGAATTAGAAGGGGATGTTGGGGGAGTATGCAATACAGACATGGTTAATGCAGGATTATGAAGCTGGAAATGACAATGACAATGGCAGTTGGTTCGGAGGTCAAGATATGAGCCACTGGTTGATTGATAAAAATTTTCAAACTCCGACATGGGTCGACCCGGCCAATTCCCGGGACTAAAATGTTTGGGTCAAAGTAGCTGTTTCATATCGTTGGCAAAAAAATTTCATTCATCTCGAGCATCTATAAACCCGGTCTTCAGGTCTTGAAATGCTGCCTGGGCATCCTGTGCCAGCAATGAATACATTTGGGATTGCCTTCCCGAGTAGCATGCATGACCCGGAAGGTGTTTCACCAATGATTCGCTGCATCCTGTCACCCCATTGGGTTGCTTTCCACAAGAAAAAGTTACATGTCCAATCCATCTCCAATTGGACCAACATCATTTCTTCCTTCCATCGATCCCGTAGTGCCTTTGCCCGGAGCCAATGAACTCGGTAAACTTCGGATGACTCCGTCAGCTGAGTGCGGGACACATCAAGCATGCCCGAACTCACATTCCTCATTCCACGAGTGATCGGGACCCCCAAGGTCGACTTCGACTGACCAGAACCAAGCGAGGGACTCGTTTCGCTGACCTCGGGCATTTGGATCGCCGACGGCAGTGCTGATTTTGAGTTGCTCTCGAAGCAGGGGTTTGTATTTCTGAACCTGGTCTTGCCCTGGCTCCAGTTGCATCATTTGCTTCCTCGTCTTCGTATATATACTGGCATGGAGGGACACTGCCTGCTGCACCGACGTCACCTGGGACCAAGCTCGAGTTTTCAGGGCCTGGGATTTGGCTTGCCTAACTGTTGTTCGAAACAGAATCGCCTTGTTGCACAAGTGAATTCGGAGGTTGTGAAGGGAGTCATTGGCCTGCCCTTCACGAAGAGACATCTCCAGCGGAATGAGATCGTCTGCCATACAGCGTCTGCATCGATCTACCCCGAGGTTTGATGGCAATGGGATTACAGTGAGCTCAGGGGAGTTTGCCCATGTGTCAGATGTCTCGGTGAAGTCTGCCAAGTCATCATCGAGATCATCAAGAATGTCCAAGTACAAGTCTTCAGGATCATCATCTGCATCAAATCCCTCTCCGAGATGCGTAATAGCAGACCGAGTGAATCCATCTATCTGGCCTTGGAGACGATCGCGTTGCCGGGCGATGTCTAACTTCTGTGTCTCGGTAGTTCTTCTACCAATTCTTCGGACCTCGATGAGCAATGCGATTTGAGCCTCTTCAATCGCCAACCCCATTGATATCCATGTCGCCACAGACCTGCGAGCAGGTGCTGCATTTCGGGCATTACCCTCCTCTAGTAGCCTAAGCTCGATCTCCTTTTTGCTCGGTGCTGAATGCAAAATTAATTCAGACTTTGATGGAGACAAAGTCAACTAACCCTTCTTGATATTAATCTCATATACATCCATAGCCGCAGGATTATTTATTCTGCTGGACTGAGCGATCCTCTCGCTGGCTAGCCACTCTGTCTTTGAATCGCCAGGGTGCTGCTTCATTGAGTATGTCGAAAGCCTTTTCACTTTCGGCAATGCCATTCTTCGCCTGCTTGTATTTTCGGCAAAGGGTCCTTTTCATGCGGATCATCTTGCAGAAATTGGAATCATTCATCTGATAATCGAGACATTCCTTTCGATGCGGGGATGACATTCCCCGAGCAGCAGGGGGAAATCAGGTTGAGACGTGACCATAGGGTCTCCATGATCTCTCCATCAATCCGACCGATGCCTTCGATAAAATTCGACGCATATCGGACATAGCAGCTGTCCTGATGTCCGTGGATGTGCCACAACCCGATTCCGGGAATGATGGTCAATTCCGGAACCATTTCGAGAAATCGGCTTCGATCCACCCGAACCCGAAAGTGCTTGTTTGTATTGACAGTTGATATCATAGAAGGTGACCGCCCTGGTGATGCCTTCCATGTTGTGCCGGGCAGCCTCACAAAGGGGCATAGTCCATGTTCATTTGTCTGCGAATGATGCATGGTTAACTCGTGAATATCGAATGGCTGGGTCGGCTTGCCTTTCGCCTTTCTGAAAATCTACCATCGAGTGAGGAACAAAGCAACCGTGTCTCGCACAGGCTACTCCCCCGATACCCGTGGATTCCAGCTTGTGCCGAGCCGCATTTGCTTGATTTACTGCCCGGGTGATTGTTGCAGCTTGATTTTTCTAAAGTGTCGGCAGCCTCTGCAAGATGCGTGTTATACCTGTCCTTTCCCACCATGAATCCCAACCCATCTGACAGCCAACTTCATCAAATGGCTTCATGGGATGCAGGTGTTCAGCTTTGAAATTTCCATCCATAACAAATGACCGGGTGTATTTCCACCTTGGAGTTGTTATTATTGCTGAGGTGACTTCAGGTATCGAGGAAGACTCACTCATCAAGTGATTCATCCCCTGAGAAGGACACATTAATCCCAGGCTGAGGACATGCCGGGCAAAATAATGCGAGATCTCCTGCATTCGGGCTGTCGGAACAATGGCCGAAGCCATGCCATTTCATCGTCTTCAACTGCCTCCACTGTCGGGCGACTCTCATGAGCTCTCGGTATCGGTCCTTGCCCCATGCCTTGTCAATATAATGTCCTTTAGATGAGAGAGACATGGCATTACCGGTACAAGGTGTGGAAACATCCTCGAGGTCATTCGCCGGAGCTTGCTGTAATAGTTCATCGCCGAGGTCCCACATTCAAGGTTGTCCAATAGAAAATCATCGAGAACCCTGAAGGTGAACAAAGTCTTCGGCTTGTTAAATGAAGCGGGGAAAAATCCATGTCGAAACATTTGGAAGGTCTGGACTCATGGCATTTGGACAATCGCAGCATCGAACCCGGAGGCGATGAACTCCGGACTTGTCATGATGACCATGGTGTTTTCCTTCGGCTGGAACTCGTGTCCCCGACACAGATGGTAGATCTTCAGGCTCAAGCTGGTCTTTCCGGTTCGTCTTCTTCAAACGAAGTCCAGCCTTAGCCGTAAGTAACAAGGACATTGTTTTGCCCTCTGAACCGAGGGTGGTATGACGGAGTCGACGTGAGCGAGACAACTTTGCTCAAAGAATTGACCATTCCATTGACTGGATCCCATGGAAAGGGAATTGCAAAGAATGTTGACCTCTTCTGCAAACAGCCCAGTGCAATAGAGTGGCTCCCCAAGACATCTTTACATTTGTAGACCCATCCTGGTCGCAGACGACGCATCTCTAATCTTCTGGTGGATCTTCTCGGATCCAGGATGTGATGCAGATATGAAATTTCTGCCTTGGCAGCCATTGCCTGAGGTAGTCATTCTGACTCTGGATTTGTTATTTAGTTATACTTAGCTATCATTTGAATTGCAATGCAACATTTTACATGAACTTGCCATGGTTTTTGGGAGTTGCAAAGGCTCAAATGAGCCTTGGTCTTGCTCGTAAGTATTGTCAGGAATGTCTTCCCAAAGAGGTGGTGCCTCAACAGGCCGAAGTGTTGGTGATTCTGGGGGAGAGCTAGGCATGGACCTGTATGCACGTCTTTTTGTGCTTGCAAGTGGGACCTTGACCCAAATTTTCCTACCTCTGCTTCCCCTTGCTTCTACCCTGTGGGATCTTTGCAGTGGGGTGCATCTACCTATCTTCATGTTATTTT